TCTCCTGTCACCCCATTTACCACTGAGCTGCATCCCTAGCCCCTAAACTTATATTCTTAATTAATGTTTTTTATTTCTCTTTTTTTCCCACTGTGCTATGTTGAAGCTTTCTGCTTCTCTTCGCATTATTGTAGGGCCACATTGAGTTACTTTTTTGTTTGTTTGGCCATTCCCCTATATTCATACATACTTGGTGCCTTCATTCCTTATGTTTTTTAGGAGTTGTAGTATGAACCAATTTTCCAGCTTTCAAAATCCTACTATTATTTTAAATTTATTGTGGTCTCCTTTTTCATTTATTTGCTGTCTGTATTTTAAAATATAATTTTAATTGGTTTTCAGGCAGTCTTGGGGTTTAAAAGCATTTGTTTTGTCTGTCAGGGTTAATCAGAAGTCATTAAAAACTTTTCTTTTTTTTTCCGGTGCTGGGGATCAAACTCAAGACCTTGTGCTTGCGAGGCAGGCACAGCACCTCTGAGCCAAATCCTTGGCACTAAAAACTTTTCTTTTGTGCTCTTCATCTTGAAATTTTATTAATTTGTTCAACTGGTTTGCAGAAATTTTTTTTTCCAAGCTTTATAATCACAAGCTATTCCAAATGTCAGTTTTTCTCTCTGGGCTTGTCTCTTGACAATTTTATATTTAAAGTCTGATATGTAGGTCTATTCATGAGATTGATACATCAAAATATTCAAAATCAGAGGTTAGGTTGGCTTACCTTACGTTTTTGAGAACATAATAAGATTATGAATAGGATCCTTTTTCTAATTTCATGTTGCTGGTATCAAAGAAAACTATTGATTTTTATATCTGCCCACCTAATTAAAATCTTATCAGGTCAAACACTGTTTAATCAATTTGCTTGGATTGTCTAGGCAGACAATTGCATTATCTTACACATAATTACAATTGTATTATGCTGAAGACAATGTAATGTTGCATAGTAGTATAATATCTGAATGCAAATTTTTATGAAAAGTGTTATAGGTGACTCAATTAAATGAAGCTTCATTTTAAGCAGATAGTTTTGGATAGTCTCTTTTAAGTATGCCTCATCCAAAGCTGCCCATTAAACTTGAGCACATATGTTACATCCTTTATTTTATGATAAAATATTTGAGAATTTCTTAGACTCTTAAATGGACTTCTTTTCAAAACTCTTATGCTAGGGCCGGGGATTTAGCTCAGTGGTTTCGCTGCCTGCTGCACAAGCTCAGGGACCTGAGTTTGATCCCTGGGACCAAAAAAAA